TCACACTGTGTATCGGTCCCTTCAGGAATTACACATGCTATCAATGAATACTGCTTTGCAAGTCTGGTTTCCCAAACTGGTTCCACAAATAGTTTGTTTGATCTCAAGTCAGAAAATTGCTTGTTTTCTCTATCTGGTAAATACGCCCTTCAAAATTTACACTCTAGAAATTACTTCAAGCGAGTTCATAGTTAAGAATTTATTCTGTCCTACCTGAGGTACATGTATGTGTAGATGGCCAGGACAAAAGTCATCATTTATTTTACGCCACTGCAAGGAGTAGTTCCTTCGGCCTAACTGCTCTTCAGGGTGGTAGACTGAGCTACCGAGTGGTTACCTGCCATGTAAGTCTTATCAATTAGACTGTCCCACCCTAGATCTATAATACCCAAACAAAGGATAAGAGCCGAGCCCCTTAGTTGAAACCTCAGGATTCTAATGTTCATAAATTAGCAGAAACTGCACTACACGGCTTGAGAAAACGCTGCCCGACTAAGTTGCAACATGAAGTGTGCGACAGAGTCTGGATATCTGAGCACATCAAAACGGCTAAGCAGATGGTATTGGTCTCTGTAGACGGTGAGCCTGAGATAGAATGCTCGCAGCCCATACCTGTTTTACATGCAGTGTGGACATTCCTTTGGTTAATTAAGGACACTTGGGGAAAATATATGCGCAGTGAATGCCGTTGTGGTTCACTTTGTTGGTGTGATGAATTCCCACATCACATGATCACGAGTTACTGCAGACGTCCGTTTGCCTCCGTCGAAGTGGTTTTCACGGACATTTTGTTACGGTCACGGTGTCCGTCTGTGTAGTGTCAGTTTTGAAGGGTACAGGCTCAATATCACAGAAGATACGGTAGGCCTACCTGCGAAGTGGGTCGTATCCTTTGTACGGAATCGGCAAAAAGAGGAGCATTGGGTCCCACGCACGGACCAAAGTCGGGCAAGGGGCGGACTGACTCGTAATTATCTGGCTCAATAGAGGGATTTCACATTAGCGCCGTCTGCGCACATCTGCATTAGAACCGAGGTTCTAATGCCCGCCCGCGGAGTCCACACAGTACATGGAGTATCCGGTTCGTAAGTGTGACGCCACTTCAGTTTAAACCACGCCCACTGCACAAGATACACGACCATCGCAGGTACGTCAGTTCGCGGTCAATTGTCGTTATTTTTCTTTGGAGTTTACGTGTCGAATCATCCTGAAAGACTCTTCCACAAAAATTTCCAGCCTGAAAAATCTGAATTTAAAATACCTTTATGTATTTTGTGTCTTGACTCCTTACTTTCAATCGTCTGGTCGTATTAAGAATTGAAGCTGACACATACAGCCTCGTTTTCAAACGCGGAAGTGCGCAGATCGACGCTAAAAGCGTCGTATTGGGATCCCTCTATATCTAGCAATGGCAGCGGCATTTGTAAAAACGCCTGCTCTTCGTTGTGGCCATTCTGTCAAAGTAATTTAGCATATACGCATTGCGCTTGCAGGAAATACTGAAAAATACACACCCCTTCCGTGCAGCTGTTATGCGTTGAACATGTGGATCAAACCAGTCTCCTCTGTATATTCGATCCCTCGTATTTTACCCCTGGACCCGCCAAATGCAGAACCAGACCCCTTGCATACGTATTTGCGACTGGAAAAAAAACACAGCACACCGGATGAGAGGGCACGTTGCGGCAACGTGCTCATTTATCTGGAAGACATTTCAAAGTCTCCCTAATGCTCCAACTACCAGAAGGAGGCCGAATTTTACCGTTAAAATTTTGAGAGATGATAGATTAGGGTCTAAATTGTAAACATACAAAGTTTGGTTCAGATTAGATCAGGGAATATTTAATTATGGTACAGTAAAGTTTGGGCACGTTCCTAGGGAATGTCTCCCAAGTGTCCCATTTTCGGTAAACAGTAAACATAATTATATTTCCCTCGCTTTAAACATAACGTGTAAAATAACTTCGTGCATAAGATGGAAAAAAGGCGTTACTTCTTGTTTTATTCAAAAACATCTTTTTTTAAACTGCCGAGTTAATGTTTTCCAGGGCCGTGAATAAAGAAATACCGATATAAAACCTTTGGTCATTTATTTCCAGAATTTCGAAGCGACGTGTGTGTAACAGTAGTCAGTACTACAATAGATGTGCAATGGCATTTGATGATGCTAAAGCAAGGTATCCTGAGAAGTCAAAAGATCTGTGGAATGTGTATGCGAACAAGGGGTTTGAAAAGTCGGCATTTCGCGGGTACATGTACGGTCTTTATGGACAGCCCCTTTGTCAGATGTTGTATCATGGTCGACATACAGTTATTAATTAAAGGACAACAGGGCCATGTTCCCCCATTTTAGCAAGAACCATTAACAGGTACCCGTATGCTAAGAATAAGTCGAAGTGGAAAAGTGAGCGGTTTGGTCGATATTTCTGAGGTTACCCCTTTGAAGGGATCTTAACATTTCCTGATATTGTGGACCTCCAGTTAATTGATAACATAAGCAGATGACGTCATACATGAAAACAAAACGTTCGGCCTATGTACGCACATTGAAGACTACTGTAAAGAATACTTTCCCTCCGAATGATTGAGTTCATATAAATAGATCAAAAAATAAATAAATAAATAAATAAATAAATTCTCGAAGAAAAGTAAATGAGATGAAACCAACCTCCAGATCCATATACGGTAAGGCTTTTTGTTGCCTTCCAACGGCATCCTCCTATAAGCAACAGCCATTCTGAACCTGATGAATTACTGACATATAAAGTCTGAAACTATAACAATCAAATTAATGTTTGGTCAGTTTCTGTGAGGCTTACTCCTTGGGGGTGATCAAATTGGCTAGGCTGGAGGGTTCCTAGGTTGGAACTCGAAATTGCAAGGAGAAGATGACAAGTCATGATTACACAAGGAGATGAAAACAAGGCTGATAAGCAGCTTTTAGAAGAACGCCTCCTATATTAAAGAAATAGGCTATTCCTGTCATACAAAGTCATATGCGAACATACAATGGTGATATCTAAGAAACTATAATAACAGAACATCCAACGTCAAATATTTGTCGCTTGGCATCCTCCTCCATTCACAATCCGATTAACTCGTTTTTTTATTTTGTTTAAACTAGAAAAAAAGGAAATAATACTACAATATTCCAATAGATCTGTAATTTGATGGTAAATTTGGCCTAAAGACCCAGGGATGTCAAACATCGGTTGTATACACTTCACCGTTTTGTCGAAGCACGTCATTTGCTCCTTATATCAAGGCCCACCGTAAAGAAACCATGTAAGATTTGTCAGTTACAACACCTCAAGCGGCAGGTCTAACCTTCCAATTGTAAATGTCAATACAAACAACTGTTGAAAGTTCCTGCGTATGTTTGTTTCAAATAAGCAGGTTAAGAGTGGCCGGATGCTGCCTCAAGGTAGATGCGATTGCTATGCATCAGAAACCGGTACAATCGCGTGGTCCTGGAGGTTGAAAACTAAATTCGGTTTATTCGGAGGAGATTTGGAGGGTTGTAGGTTTTTATTGAGGCATTTCAGTGTTGTACATGAGTGTCTTATGCACAAAAACCCAGTGACGAGTACAAACATATCCCTCCCATTTTTGGTTTATCACTTGTTTTGTCTGTGATCTTTTCAGGCTATTTAAATTCAAATTAATTGAGCGCCTTCATCGTCTGGAACTCTGTGATTTGTTTAATTAAACCATCCGCTCATTATCAAAGATCAAGCTTACGTGTATTTTTCGTCTTCGCCTAGGCCTACACAGGTAATTGTCACGTTTAAATCCATTTTATTTTTAATCTTAATTCAAATACTCTCAAACTTTATTTACTTGTTTATATCCCTTCTTTATAAATAGGCTACTACTTCTTGGTCTTATTCATATTTTCCATTGCCTGCAAAAATAACGAGTGATGTATTTTCGAACTTCTGCAGACATGCTAGATGTGTTTAAAGCCCAGTAGCATATAACGTCTCTAATCATTAACGCAAAAGTCAACTTTTCATCTTCTAGATATAAATGTAGTTTATTTATTTTACTTATCGATTTGTAAAGCTTGGATTTATTCAGAATCGCTTAAAATCAAATATGGCGAAAGTCTGACGGGAACGATAAAGCAGCGCCTCAGAAACATCGGTACCGTCCTTGCCTAGAACATCTAGTCAAGCTTATTTAATTAGAACTTTCTTCGCTTCTCATTAGTGCTTTGGAAATATTTTTATCTGTTTTGCTTGATTTCGATTAATCCTCTTTGATTTCTTTAAATCAATGACTCATTGTCAAAGACCAAACTTACATGTATATTTCGTCTTCTCCTATACAAGAATTAAATTACATTTGCCGATACATTAAGAATGTGGTCCACTCCCTCATTTCTCATATAAAAGAAGTGTCACAAATTGAAACGAGGCTGGATCCGATCGAGTCCATCGATTCGCAAACCTGACACGACACCAACAGATAGTCTGAACAAAACAACACAAAACATTAAAAGTGAAAAAGTAAAACTAAAGTAAACAACAAAGAAAAATAAAGGTCGCGCTTAGGAAAAATAGAATCGATAATCTAAAAGTGTATTTTATCAGAAACTAAACAAAGCACAAACAGCCTACGTAAACTAGGGAAAACCAGAAACCTGTAAACTAGATAATGAAACTGTCTGCAAACATTGCTAATTTGAATGTTTTATGTTCAACCATCGACAAAGGGATCTGTCTGCCTCCAGTAATCCTCCACCGTCTTTCAACTCAAGCACCGCATTGCATGCGTGTACGCTGTACATGTACATGTACAGTACATGAACATGTACGAAAGGTTCTTGTGGTGTCGACTTGCTAAAGCATCAAGCGACGATGTACGTGTACATCTACAGCACTTATTGAACTTGAATCAAGTCTAGTCAGGCCACGGCCTCTTTGTTTTGCTTTGTGAGCACGCGCGATTCATGTACATGGCCGGCATCGCATTCACGTTGCCGAACACGTGCAGCGCGGTTGAGCGATTGTCACGTCGTATGTCATGTGAGCAAAACACACGATTGCAACCTATCCCGTGTCTCACGTGTACCTGCACGGGATCTTAATGACACTGCAGTGAACCCGTAGTGTTAAGGACAAATTGGCGTGCCAGTGCATGTGGACATGTTGTCAATACTCGAAATCAACCTTGATGCTAGCGCTGTGGATTGGATGAGAATCATTACTGGTCGTGGTACACCCAAGTGAAATTGTTCATCAGGTCTGATGTCGAACGGATTCGTTTCCCAAAATTTGCGTGCTTGTGTCCAATTTCAATCACTGCCAACGTTTGATCCTCAAAACCGTCGTGGATATCATCTTCTGATGTATTTTGTGAGCTGATATTGTTCTTCCTGTACTTGGGACCTACATGTGCATGTACTAAGTTACATCTACTCAGCAAAACATCGGTGAACGCCTTTTGGTTTCGAGCGTGAAAATTCTCTCTGACGGCTGACAGGTTATGCGATTAAGGGGTAATGAGAACAGCAGCTGCAAGCTTAGCAGACAGAGGTAATTTTTGTTCGCGATTCGAGTATAGTTTTCTGTTCTTCTTCTGTGTTCCTACTTTGCTTTTAAAATATTGTTGCACAAAGGTATGAACAGCGCTCATATTCACTGTATTTTCAAGTCTACAGAGATTACACATTTTAAAATGAATCATGACTGCTATGTATAATATAGTGCTTCTCAACATATCGTTGTTGATTTTGTGTACAAGAGGGCCCACTGAATAGCGCCACTGACAAACACATTTTGATCCCCAATAGGAAACAACTTTGGATGATAAAAATCACAGTGCTGCAATTGGAGGAAAACAGTTCAAATATCACTTATGATGTTTTCGCGTCAATTAGCTAAATATAAAAAACAGCTGAAGAATTGTCGATTGTATTTTGAAATCTGTCCGAGATTCATGGGCCCATTTAGATTGACGCAAATTTTGTATTCTTTTTTTAGAGCTTGGACACCGAAAGTTTTATGAGTTATTATTTTTACTGTTTTGTATTAATCTAATTTAAACTGTTTTTATGTATTTTACATTTGCCTAATTTTTTTGACGTGTGCTTATAGTCGTTTTAATACTTGCTATTTCCTACACTTCAAGTTTTCGGGGGGGGGGGCTTTTTCAGGGTGATCTTACCGCCCGTCGCGAGGCCAATGCATGGCTCGTTAAAGCTTTTTGGGGAACGGAGCCTCGGCCAAAATCTTCCAAAATGAGGCGTACTTCCCTTTTCTCCTAGTGAAGCAGATGGTCATATGCCCTTGTGCCTGACCTTTATAAACTTTTTAAAGTATAGTTTAAATGTAATAGGTTGATGAACGAAAGCCTGAAGAGCCATATTTTTTAAAAAGTGAAGTTTATTTTTTCCAAGTTCGTATTCATGAAATACAGTTATGTATTTATCAACTTCGTTTTTTACGAGATATATGTTCGTTTGTTCGAGATGATAATTATTCTCCAGTTCGTTCTCATGAAATCCATGTCTAGAAACGTTTCTATTTTGGGGAAAACAATCGTTTTTACGCGATTTTGTTACCAATTTGTTTTTATAAGATGTTATCCAGATACATGTATAGTACATCTCTTGATGTTCAGCCGTTCTTAGCCTCAGAGACCATTTTAAAGTACTTTTCGGGGCCCATACCATGATAACTCGATAAGGTTCACCGGTAACCTGTTCTGTGGTTGGTGGTATGTCACCTGAGTACTTCGTCTCTAGAGCTAACTTGGTCTTTTCCTCTTCGTTTCCAATAAAAACTCTCCTGCTACGATGCGATTTTTTATATATATCCTGGATATCCTTAATCGGTACAGCAAAAGCAAGGTATTTAAACATGCCCTTCATTTTTTTAATACGTGTATTACACGTTTAACGCTCACTGTAAGGTATTGCTTCCAGTTTTCTTCAACAATCAACATTCAACCTTTTTTTCATTTTCATTATGATGTGAAAGAAAATGTGATACTGGATATTTTCTGGATGAGATTTTTACATTAATTTTGAAAACTATCGTTTTTTAATCCCATCACGCGGACATGAATTGAATAGGCCTATATTTTTAACTAGACATCGCTGATTTAAAGGGCAGTCGGGGCACCAGACTATCCAAAATAATTTATGAAAATGAACTAATACTCAGTAATAGTAATATCAGGGTGACGTCTATTGATAAGAGAGAACACGGAAGTGGTGAGGGCGCACTACTCGACACCCTGACAACGATATACTTTTCAGAGAAGTGTGGCATCTTTCAAATTTTTTGTAAATTTGCGCCGTCCTTTTGTGCCTTATCAGTCGTGCCAACGCGAGTGCGTAGCTGCACGTAGTCATGAGACTCGTGGCTTCGTCCGTCAGTGGGCAAGTTCGATTAAGGACCATTAGTTTACCAGTAGTTGGTTCATGATGTGTCAAACGCATGTGCTGTGAAGTTGAACTACGAACAACCCTAGTCAATCGTTGCCAGGTCATTAGGCCGCAGGAGAGAAAAAGTGGCCGCAGGAAGGACAAAATAGCAAAAATAAAAGTGAAAACGATCGTTTACGAGTGACGTCTCGTTTTTTCCGGCATTTTTCTTATTACTGGTCATTGTTCTGTTATTAACGGTTTATGACAACCAACGACGCAACCAACCGCTATAGGCTGGTCGCTAATATTTGACTGAACTACATTGCATATACATGTAGTCCAGCCATCGTCGACTAACATGCGTCGATCAAAGTTAGTCGAACTATTGTTAACAATGGCCCAGTGACGGCAAGGACTGTGATTATATTGAGAAAAAAAAATCCCTCGACCGAATTAGAATTGTAACATTTGTATGTAATTTTTTATTGACACGTTAGGTGAATCTCAGAGATGAGTGTAACCATGTATCCAGAAAGTGTCGGTCTGAATATTTTTGGAGTAACAACCAACCCAGGAAATAAATCTTGAATTTTTAATAGACCTTTGTGACGCTATGTGCACGTTCCCATGGAGCTCAGTGGACTGCAAGCCCTAAGTGCACTTCACAAAGTGTGACGTCATCAGCACATACTGGCCCATTGTGCAGGTTCTTTAGTTCATTAATTGGCCTAAGCCCCCATGAGTGTCTGTGCCATTTCATGCCTTGCTGCACATGGTGGCAGTTCATGAATATTTGGCTTTTGCAGATAATGACATTGAAAATATTATAGAAGAAATACCCGCGGGGTAGTTCAGTCCACAGGGCGCTCCAGTGATGTTGTTCAGGACCGTTAATGTTGTCTACTTGACACGCTGGCATCTATTCCTTTTCTGACATTTCATATTGGATAATGCATCGCGTTTTGACGTCATAACAAACTAGATCCTCCAGAGGTTGTACATGTACAGTAAAAAGTTCAAGTTACCTGCTTTTTTAAACTGCCAGTGAACCTGTGCCCCATTTATACCGCTTGAGTGCATTTGCGGAGCTCAGGAAACCAATTACCAAAGTTAGCGGTCCAGATACCCCCCCCCGCCAGCCAAGGAATTCGCCTTCAAATCAAGTGGCTTAATTCTCATAGATTCTTGTTCTTAAGTAACGCAGAATGGACATTCCTTGCTTGGAAAGATTGCGTCAGTTGAATTGGTTTACTTTGGAATTACACAGAAAATACTTGCTTTTGTCGTTTGTGGCGAAATGCTTATACAAAGTTGTTAATAGCCGCCAGTCTTCGATGATATCCTGGTCAACATCCGTTATGCTGACGACCTCACGTTTAGATATTTACCGGTACTTGCTAAAGAGACCAACTTTGAATGCGATTTCCTTGGAACCTGGATTTTACTCTTCGGATAGACTTTTGGCTCTCCTTGAAAACGGTTATACGGCGCTCTGTGAGTGCCATTCGACTTGTTCAGATATTGAGATAATTTATCTTTGTAAATCGACTTATAAAGCGTATTTAGTCGATTTAACGAGATAAATGATGTAGTTACATATACGTTGATTTCATAAGTATAGTAAGTCGACATCGCGAGATATTTTATGACATCAAGCCTGCTTCCAGAGTTCCCTATATCGATTTGGCGAGATAATTTATGTCATCAAGTCTACTTCCAGAACTAGGTATGTCATCTCGGAGAAATAATTTTTGTTGTCAAGTCTACTTCCGGATTTTGCTTGTGTCAACTTGGTGAGATAAATTAAATACTCAAATCGAATTCCTAATTCTTGTAAGTCGACTTGGAAATACAATTCATGTCATCAAGTCTACTTTCAGAATTCATTATGTCCACTCGTCGAAATAAATTTGATGTCAAGCCGATTTCCAAATTCTAGCAAGTCGACTTGGCGAGAAAATACGCTGCAGGTCACATTCACTTGTGAGTACTCAGTTCATGCCTGCATGTTGTACACTTCATGACATGGATTATCTCGCCAAGTTGACTAACTAGAATTATGAAGTCAACTTGCAACATAATTTATATCGCCAAGTCCACACAGTGAGTTTTAGAAGCAGGATTGACGACATAGATTATCTCGCCAAGTCAACTTACTAGAATTAGGAAGTCGACTCACTGACATAGATTATCTTTTCAAGTCGACCTACCAGAACTAGGAATTTGGATTGACTACATAAATTTTCTTGCCAAGTCGTCTTCCCACAATTGTAAAGTCGACTTGACAACATAAATTATCTCGCCGAGTTGACATCGCAAATTCCAAAAGCAGTCTTAAAGTTATCTCGCTAAGTCGTCTCGCCAAATAAGGGAGTCGACTTAACTACATAAACAATCTCTCCAAGTCAACATAAGGAATTCCGAAAGTAGACTTAGGCCTAATGTCATGAAATATCTCCCAAGTCGACTTACTATAATTTGGAAGTCGACTTGACTACATCATTTATCTCGTTAAATCGACTATAAACACATTTTTAAGTAGACTTACATGTAATAAGAAAAATTATCTCGGTATCTGAAGAAGTTGGATGGCACTTCCAGAGATCCGTACGGTTACGAATTGGCGGTACAAACTCATGCCACTGGCTGTGAGATACTGTAGCCCCCCTCCTCCAAAAAGGGTTCAAGTTTAAAGATCAACTGATTTGTATTCCATTATTAGGTAACAATACGCGAGCGGGCAACTTGG